TGGGTGTGGAGTTTTGCTAAACCAGGCGAGCATCAAGCAAGCAGCAAGGAAGGAGGTCTACAACTCTTTCACAGCTCAGTTGTCGGTACAGTAAGCCTCTGCCAGCTGGGTTGACGGAGATGATTCCTTGTCATTTCCACGAGTGGAGCAGCTATATAAATAAATTAAATAAAATCCTCAAGTTGAATGGTCAGTGCTGTATTCCTTCTCTTCATTTATGACCCTCTAGCAAACACACATAAGGGAAACTGATCAGGAACAATTCAGACATTTTTCTTTCCTTCCTTACAAAACTGCAAGGCAGCAACAGCCTAAAGACTGGCTCGGGGGGGGGGGGGCTTCAGATTTGGGGGGGTTGATAAATTAAAATAATTCCCTCCCCCCCCCCCCACTCATCCGACTCCCTTCCTCCCCATCTTTTAGCTATTGCATTATGTAATTTTTACAGCTTTGTAGTATTCTATTTCTAGAGTTTTATCTTTTAATGTTGCAAGGTGTCCAGAGTTACCCTGTGGTAAGGTGGGTGGCCAATTTATTTGATCAATAAAACAAATAAATACAATAATCAAACTAATAAATAAATAATAATAAAATACAGTAATCCAGGAAGGCTGGATCGTCCCCTTGCTCATTGAATAAAAGCAGATGTTGGGAGTTTGCACCCCCACAGATGTGGAAAATATGGGTAAAGAAGCTCCTAAGGGGCCCTGGCTGCTTGTCTTCCCGGGTTAATACAGTTCTGCGTATTTCTCACATAACCGCAATTCAGCCTGTGGAAAAAACATCTCCGTGTTAATTACTTGGGTGGGAGCTGCATGAAATGAACTGGTGGAAGCCCAGGCTCTCTTCCTTCTCCTCAAGGGAGGGGAAAATAAATAAATCACATGCTGGAGATTATAAATACTTATGAAACATCCCGCAGAGCTGTTGCTTAGCAATCCAGTGAGGCATCGGGGCGAGCCAATAAGGCAGGCCAGAGCGTTCTTCAAGGGTGATTAAAGACTCACATTTTGTTGTTCAGATCAATATACAGTACTGTATGGAACTTGATCCGGCTTACTGGCAAGAGGTGCCTTTAGGGTGGTGAGGAGACGGGAGTGCCTCGCTGGATACGGAGTGGGCACAAGCGTTTCACCCAAGTGGGCACAGGAGCTCAGCCAACCAGTCAGCAGCTGCACTTTCCAGGTAAAAATCCCAGCCAGGCAGGGACCTGAAAAGTCAGGAACAATGTGAAATGAACCGGAGCCCACGGAAACTGGCAAACAGTCACACCATGGATCGTGGCCTGAGAAAAACAAGACAAGACAGCAGCAGAAGAGACTCTTGTACAGAGAGGAGCAGCCAAGATGACAAAGGATCTGGAGGCTAAATCCTCAGGCCAATGGTTGAGGGAGCTGGGTGACGTTCTAGCCCAACGAAGAGAAGGACCAAGGGGGGACATGAGAGCCATTTCCCAATATTTGAAGGGCTGCCACAAAGAAGTGGGGAGGTCGACCTAGTCTCCAGAGCACCCGAGGACGGGACAAGCAGCAACGGATGGAAACTTATCCAGGAGAGAAGCAGCCTAGAATCAAAGAGCTCTAAACTCTGCCAGGATCACAGAACAGACGGGAGGTCTCTGGGGGCCTCCCCATGTTGCTGAAGCACAACTATTCACATTCTACTGATACGGAGCCAGTTCATAAGGAGACACAAGAGGTTCAATCTAGGCTGGCACAGTCTTTCTGTTGCTACCGAAAAATGTTTTCACAGCATTCTATGCTCACTAAACCCATAGTACATATTTTATACAGGATAATTCCAAATTTCTGTACATAATTCAACATTCTATTCACATTTTAATGTTGTATCAATGTTCCCATATCCACCCAATGGATATTAAAACCAAAATAGGGCGAGGTTGGAGAAAACTCAAATGGTTTGTATAAAGGTCCCTTCAATCTATTTAATTCATTTTATTCGATTTTAAATTTTGTATATGTATGTGTTTTATTTCATGGCTGTTCACCGCCCTGAGTCCTTCGGGAGTAGGGTGGTATAGAAATTCAATAAAATAAATAAATAAATAAATCGTTGGATCCTTCTAGCATAATAAAGTTTGTAGCCGTCTCTTTTTAAATCTTCTCTGAGGTGTCTGGTAAACAAACGAAAAGTATTTTGTTGAAATAGCCACCTCTTCACATCACAAGAATCAGACCTAGTCTTAAAATTTAAGACCCTTCAGTGCCGATGCTTGTCCCCGTTGCATTCCAGCCAAGGCATTTTCTGCCCTCCTCCCCTCACATAAATAAATTGTGTGTGTGTGAGGGAGGGAGAGACAGAGAGACGTTGAGATGGGTGGCGTATAGATTTAATAAGTAATGTATATGTGTCTATATCTCTGAATCTCTAGATCTATGTGGATATTCAGGTTAAACTTGCACTTTCCTGCCTGCAGCAGAGTTTCCAGCCACTTGCTCTTCCCCCACCCCCCTTCACTGAATTTCAGCTGCTATTTTATTCCTCTCGATTAGCCTGAGGTGTCATCAGCAGCCTCTGAATCCCAGATAATTTATTCAGGGAAATAAATTCAGTACAAAGACCAATTTCATGAAGAGCTATTTCCTTGGGAAGCACTAGGCTGGAATTGACGAAAACAAATAAGAGACCATCATTTCTGATCACACTTTATGTGAGAACCCCAATGCAAGAATACCTGAGTCGCACCTAACGGCCGTCTCTCACCTTTCCTTGCACTATTTTTTTCCTTAACCCCCCCCCCGCCCCTCAGAAAGGACTGATTGATATGCTATTCCTGTTCAGGGAAACTAGGCCCTGAAAAGTGCCCCAAAAAGGGCAAGAATTAGTGAGCAAAAGGACTTAGAGGGAAAAAAGGAAGTCTTATACCACTCGGTCACTGAGACTTTCTCTGTTCTTTCAAGCCCTGCTTCCACGTCTCCATCCAGGATCCCAGACCTTTCCTTTGGCCCCACAAACGTCTCCCCTCCCTTTCTGAGAACCTCATCAACTCCATCCAAACACAGCTTTCACGGTCTTCTCCTTCTCAACTCACCGGTACCTTCCTTTGTACCTTTTTTGCCTCCTCCTCCTCCTCCTCCTCTCACCAATGATAAGCCCATGTCATAATCTATCATTCCCTCATGGTAAGGCTGGAGTAGAAAGGGCACAAACCAAGCATGGATTTATTACGAGTAAATAGGACCTCTTCTCTAGAGGCTACTAGTATTAGCATTAGGAGATTAAATAGCACTAGGAGATGCAGGCCAGACTCAACGTATTGAACTGAATTTGAACTGAATACTTTATTTGGCCAGGTGTGTGATTAGACGCACAAGGAATTTGTGTCCGGTGGACCTGCAAAGCAACAGAGTAACGATAATCATAATAATATCAATAAAAGGGGAAAGTAAACAATAAGAAGTCTTCTAATGTTATAGTTTACCCTTAATCTTAAATATACTTTGCTTCTCAAATTTTAATTCCCTGTATTCATTCTCTCTTATTTACAACTCTGTTCAGCTTTATTTAAGGAACCGTTACACATGGTATTGCTTTAACAAGTGTGGCTGTGAAGTTTTTATTCCCACATCCCCAATGTCAACTTGTGAGAAAATGCTATTCTAGGCATCGGGGATCAAATTATTCTCAAAAGGCACCTACTGCGCTGTATGAATTTACACATTGCTCTGAATTTTTTGTAATTTTAGATGTGACACGCCTCCTCTGCCTTTTTCTTTTTTTTCCTCTCCTTTTTAAATTTTGTACCTTAGTTCTTGTTTATCCTTTGATTAAAATCCTTAATAGAAATTAATTAAGAAGCCATTCTGCATGCCTTTGATCGTGGCCTAGACCCAATGAACAGGTGGCTAAGCTGTCCCACCTGACCCTGTTCATTTCCCTGGGAACAGCCTCCAGACCGTGTCCTGCCCAGTCGGACTCTAGACTGGAGCTAATCCATCGGTCCGTCAGGATAGAGCTGCCATGGACCTCGGAGGCCTTCCAGTCCAACCCCCTGCTCAAGCAGGAGACCCAATTGAGCCATTCTGGACCAATGGCTGTCCAGTCTCTTCTTAAAAGCCACAACTTCTGAAGGCAACTTCTGTTCCACTGGTTGATTCTTCAAATAAAATTTGAACAAACTTTTAACAAAGTTGTTCATTGTTAATCAAAGTGACTTTATTCATCAGGCCACCCAACAGGTTCCAGGGTGCCCTCCCTACCCCGTAGAGACCGGCTCGCTCTGATCAGGGCCACCATCAGCAGATACAAGAAGGGTGGAGAAAGAGGTTTCGCTGCCCTTAAGGCCACCAGGTAATTGCTAAAGTGGGTAGCGGTCAGACTCATCTCTCTTCTGGCACTGCCGTCTCCTGAAGCCCCTCACTAAACCAAGGCTCAGCTTAGGATCGGCACACAGGGAGAGGCCACGTAGGAGCAGTGCCAGCCCTGGCCCAGCCAACCTCTCCCTGCAGACAGTAATCGGGCCCAACCATCCACCGGATCCTTCAGGGAAACTGCAAGCTCTCAGGAACCTCATTGGATCCCTCAATCCTTCCTGTGTTCAGTGGAGGGGAATCATCTGAGCAGGGCAATCAACCAATGTCTTCCACTGCCAGTTCTCAACTGCCCGAAACAAAATACAGATCCAGCAAAGATCCGGCAGCCAAATGCTTTTTATATCTTATACTCCGCCAGATGCTTTTGGCTCTTTTGCCTTGGTATCAAATTTCGTTTGCATTTTTTAAAGTAAGATTGATTTAACACTCGGCATCTTCCTTAAGTAAATGATCCAGCAGACAATTCTTAATCCATGCAACGATCTTGAATGTAAGATGTTCTTAACAATCCCCTTTGCGTGCAGACTTTAAGCCAGTGTCTGCTCTGTGGGGTGATGTATAAACATTAAAACCGGTGTGGGGTTTGCCAGCAGTGCCAGAGCCTTCAAGCATCAGCCATGGCAGCAGTGACTAAACGGAAACAAGAAACTGCCAGGACTTTTCAGCTCAGAATATTGAATAACCTTTATTGAAAATATAAAAGATCTACAAAGCCACTGATACTCAGCATGGAAGAGTTCATTAAACTGTACACATGTTTTTAAAAACATCAGAATAGCAGAAAGTCAATGATGTTTTTCAAAGTCTCTTTTCCATTCTCCCTTTTTTTTTTTTTCCCGGTAGGAAAGTTCTGTGCAAGAATTGCTTTTCATGAGACAAACGTTCTAAAAGCCATGAGTAAATTCATTATATTGTAAAAGGAAACTAACATTACTAGCCATTTCCCCCCATTAACGGTTATTGAAGCCTCTAGAAGAAAAAGCACTGATTTGGAAATTGGAACCAAAATAATCAAAAGAAATTAGTAATTAATGCTGCTGTATCGGCCACACACAATCCTTATATTGCTGTATACCCTTCCCCACAGGACTTCAGAAATATACAAAGTGTTTCAACATACTAAAAATGCTAAATAATAGCAAAGTAACGTAACAGATTTTATTAATCTGAAATGCAGCTGCCAGAAATAACCTTACGGCTCTCCTCACGGATAAAGGAGGGATGGCGACGAAAGGTCATTTAATCCACCATGTCCTTGAGGACCAATCCGAGGTCCTCAGAAGCAAACCAAGAGTCATGAGCTGCCAGAACTGAATTCCTAATTTTCTGATTTGTAGCACCAAAGGGAAAACAAGTATAACTGAACATAAAGAAACCAACAAAATGTGAAGTTGATCCATCCTAGCAGGCTATACTTTTGTTAAAGATTAAAAATCTTCAATGCTGAAAAGCACATAATTGTAGTTTTGGATTTGAGTAGCCAAAGGCACTGATTTGATCCTGCTGCCCCGGTTAAAGAGCAAGGCCCGCGCCAGAGTCCAGCGTCTCGGCCCGTCTCCCTTGGGGGCTCCCCTGGGTGCCTCTGAAGGGGACCCGGTCATTCCAACCGCTAGGGCTGAACACGCATGCTCCAATTTCTGGAGCAGAACGCGGGGAGTTTCTCGCGGCCCAATTCTCAAAGAGGCACAAGTACTACATATTTCACTAAGGAAGGGGGGGAGGATTATGAGAATGGGGGTGGGTGGGTGCTTTTCCCAATTGTGGAAGGGTAAAATAAGCTCAGTATTTCATCTGGGCAAAATGACACCATCAAGAATTCTGACTTAGGCTTCTGAGGAAGGAAGGGAGGGAGGGAGGGAGGGAAGGAACGAAGGAAGGAAATAGTTCACAAGGCACAATATGATAAACATGAAGAGTCCCTGAGACTCCAGTTGGGTTCAATATCTCCTTTCTCTACTTAAGTAGTTCAGAAGAATTAAGAAAATACAATACAGACTATTTTATAGGAAATATACCTATAGGAAATAAACCAGTTGGCTAGAGAGTATATAGCTTTTTATCACTTTTTTTTTAAAAAAGACCTTTTTCAATGCAGATTGGTCCATTTTTAATTATCAGCAAGCCAGACTAATTTTACTTCACTAAGCTTAAACTGTTTTCAATTACAACTCTGCAATATTGCTACAAGTGGAGTAACTACATTCTAAAAAGCTTGATGAATGCTAAATGAATGAGGCAATCTTAAGAGCATTTTGTTATTCTGAAAACTGCCAGTGTAGCCTAGAAATCAGTGTCAATACTGAAATTTAAAGCTAAACTTTCCTTTCAGTTTATTGGCAACGAAACAACACAAGACTGAGCAAACAGGGCTGCTTCAATTATCCTAGCCGGGGTCAGGCTGAGATTCAAATTCCGCCAATAAAAATACTGAAATATTGAATGTATAATTTTACGACCAGTTGCTTAGCGACCTTTCGGTTACGATGATGGACCTACCTTGAGGCTACTTTAGGCCCAGACTTTCCAAAGGTGCCCCCCCCCGCAGTCACATGACTGAATTTTGGGTGCTGGGCAACACCATGGCATTTGTGCGTTTGCAGCAGCCCATGGTCACATGACCTCTCTTTTAGGACAGCTTTGTCAAAAAGTTGCACTCTACTTCTTTTGTGACCATGGCGGCCGTCACAAAAAGGGTTGTAAAATTAGATTGGTCACATGGCAGTTGTAAGTCGAGGACTACCTGCAATCCAGTCCAAGAAACTAAGAGCTCCAACTAAGCTTTTCTTGATCCAGAAGTTTATTTCATAGTTAATGCCTGCAAGAGGAGACAAACCGGGACACCCCGGGGGGGGGGGGGGGGGGGAGGAAGGGGGTCCTTGATCAAATGCAACAATGGATGTCACACCTGAGCCCGCCAAAGGTGCGCAGCTACTTGGCCTATCTGACTCCTTTCTTGCACTGAAACTTCTCAGGATTTCCCTGAGTGTAGAAGAAAGTCCGAGTCATGAACGGTTCCAAGAAGCTGTGCCTGAAAATCTGGAGAAGCAGGATGGGCGGCTGTTGCTAGAACAAATCCTGGAGACTTTCTGGTGCAGCCCTATTGCTAAGAGCCTCCAAGTGGAGGGGAGGCCCCGGGGGTTTCTGGGTATCGGAAGCCCATCCTGCCTGGCCTTCTGGCCTACCGAAGCCACTGAGAGGACGCTGCTAGAATAGCTGGAATGAGCTGCTACAAAGCAGGGAAAGCTGATGCGTCACTGCATGTAACCTGATTAACGGGGCCAGCTTCCCTACTTCTTCTTTTAAAGAACCACCACGCACACTTTTTAGTAAATCAACATCATATTCTCCCTGTCTCAAAACAACCAAAAGGAACCTACCGCAGCAGTCTTTGCAAACTATTTTTTTAAAATGGGAATCTACTTTAAAAGCTTCATCTTTTCCTTTTCAAAGAATCCAAAGAAGCTGTGAGGGAGGCAATACCCACACAAAAGGGGATTTTTGCCCGTTTTGAATTAGTTACACCCGCCGAGGTCTGCATGGAAAGAGCCCAGTCATTTGCCAAGCCACATTTTTAAACGTTATACGAATTTGTTAGTTCCCTGCTGTGTCCCTTTGTATTTTAACATCTAGAACAATTTATCAAAATGGATCCAAGTAATTTATTCAAAAGCGGAACTTCTAAACTTCTGGGAGAGATCAACCAAGCCCCCCAATAAATAACGGCTGATGTAGTGGGCACAGGAAGAAACTTTCACTCAACATTTTATCTAATCTGCAGGGGGAAATCCCAAACCCATGATTTCTACTGCGGTATTATCCATAGCCTGGGGAGCCCCGGGGGGCAGAGGCCTCTTCCCTAGGGTCGCTTTCTGAAGGGTGGCAGGTTGACGGCCCCGGAGGGAAGGCTTCCGGGAGGAGACCCGGGCGGCAGAGACTACAGGAGCCGGGCGTTGCTGCGTCTGTGGGGCCGGGCGTAGCCGCTGTCGCTTGAGCTGCCTTGCAAGCTGTCTTCTGGGTCGCTGGCACTTCCGCTGCTGTCCATTTCGGCCGGGGTGAATTCCAGCCCTTCAATGTCCACCTCTGCGTGGGAAGAGAAGTTTCAGACTGTGTATCAACTGAACGCTTGATAAATATACAGCAAGCAGGACAGGTAGTCTCGACTTACGTTGTCAACGGAGGCATTTGGGATGTGAATTTTGCCCCGTTTTACAACCTTTCTTGCCTCAGTTATTAAGTGAATCACTGCAATTGATAAGTTAGTAACCTGGTTGTTAAGTGAATCTGGCTTTCACACTGACTTTGTCAGAAGGTTGCAAAAGGGGATCACGTGACCTTGGGACACGGCAACGGTCATAGATACGAACCAGTTGCCAGGGCTCTGAATTTTGATCACATGATCATGATGGGGATGCGGGAAAGGTCATAAGTGTGAAAAAAGTCCCTTTTTTCAGTGCCATTGTAAGTTTAAATGGTCACGAAGTGAACTGTTGTAAATCAAGGACTGCCTGTATTTAAGACATCATCTCAGAGCTGAATCTTCTCACCATTATCCAATGCCACCCCCCTCCCCCCCCCCCCCCCCCCCCCCCCATTCCTGTACACTTCACTATCCCTATTTCTTTCTGTGTGGGTACCAAGGAGAAATAATTACATTGTGGAAACTTACGGCAGGACAAAGTTTGGCAGGTACCAGCAAATACTTTCTACAAAACCTCTACAAAGAGATGCAATTGGTGTGCAAGCTTGAACATCTTCCAAAATTATCCCCCTGGCCCCTTTCAATTCTAAGTTTTTGACAGTTGCAAGCAACCTCTTAGATATACCCCACTGAGTTCAGAGTTACCAAATGAACTAAATGAATTAAGGAACAATGCGATCATGCATCATTAGCTATTAGCTGAGGGAGAGGGGGGCAGTTCAAAAATGTGGAATGAATGAATGAGTTTTTCAAAATGTGTTAGTTCTGATGTAAATATTATTTATTGGAATTTTTATTGTTTATTGTCTATTCTGTCCAGCCATTTTGCATATTGAAGCCACCAAAGCCTATTAATACACAGTGACCATAAACTAAAATAAAGGATCTCAAAGTTATTTATCAAGATTCCTATTTATTTCAGATTTGTTTCCATTACACTTTGATTCGACACTGCTAGCGTTAACTCCTTCCATTACTTCTAGGAGAAAAAAGACACCACAAGTGGGAAACAAGGCTACTGCATCTACTGGGTTTTGGTTTCCCTCCCGACAAAATGCCCAGGAGAAACACACTGGCCATTACGAGGGATTTGCACTTGGTACAACCAGATGTCCTTGTAGGGGACTTCATAATTATTCATGACCAGCTTGCAAGTAACATCTTTGTGACCTTAAAAATCTGCAGCCAATGAGGAGTTGCAGTTAAAAAGTCCCAAATCAATCAGAATAGAGCTGGAAGGGAGCATGGAGGTCCCATATACCATTTCAGATAGGTTAATAAGAAAATAATGAGATTGGGGGCACACCACATCCCAATGTAATTGAAATATCCAAGTATCCAACTGCATTAGGAGACAATCCCAAAAGCCATTTATTTAGGCACGAGTTGGTCTTAGATTTGATTGGGCTAGTCCACCGAGTGGAAAATGTCACCACTGGGTGAGAAAGAGCCCCTCCGACTCACAGAACCCCCCACCCACCCCCACCCCGGTGGTTTGTGAACATTCCCATGTTTTAGCAAGGGGACTGAAAATGTGGCCATTTCTAGTTTATCTTTCAGTTCTTCCTATATTTTGCATTCTTTTTAAAAAATGTATTACTTGCTTCGAACATTCAAATTAACGCAGAGGAAGATGGGAATCTGGAGGATTTTTTATTTATGGGCCATGTATATCTTGTCCTTGAATCTCTCTGCTGGGCAGCCTGCAATAGTGACGGCATTTTTTGGTAGTAGCAGAATCTGTTCATTCTATCAATATACAGATTAGGACAAGGTGTCCTACTCTGGCAACTTTAAGACTTCAACCCCCAGAATTTCCCAGGCTGCAATGGCTGGCTAGGAAATTCTGGGAATTACAGAATATATTACAGATTAATTGGAAGGGACCTTGTAGGTCATCTAGTCCAACCCGCCACCCAAGGAGACCCTACACCATTTCTGACAAGTTTGTACAAAAAGGTGTCCACTCGCAATAAATACATTTAAAAGGTAAAGTCCAGTATTCATTCTGAGCAATAATAGTAACAATGCAATAATCACCTCAGTAGGTCCTGGGATATTGTCCAACATTAACATTCTAATTGTTGCAGGATTATTAAGATGTTGTTTACAGCCTGAGCTGTAATTTGTTTTGCAAATATATATATATAGTCAGGTCCAGAAATATTTGGACATCGACACAATTCTAACATCTTTGGTCTATACACCACCACAATGGAGTTGGAATGAAACAAACACAATGTGTGTTAACTGCAGACTGTCAGCTTTAATTTGAGGGTATGTACATCCAACTCAGGTGAACGGTGTAGGACTTACAGCAGTTTGTATATGTGCCTCCCACTTGTTAAGGGACCAAAAGTAATGGGACAATTGGCTTCTCAGCTGTTCCATGGCCAGGTGTGTGATATTCCCTCATTACCCCAATTACAATGTGCAAATAAAAGGCCCAGAGTTCATTTCAAGTGTGCTATTTGCATTTGGAATCTGTTGCTGTCAACTCTCAAGATGAGATCCAAAGAGCTGTCACTATCAGTGAAGCAAGCCATCATTAGGCTGAAGGAACAAAACAAATCCATCAGAGAGATAGCAAGAACATTAGGCGTGGCCAAAACAACTGTTTGAAACATTCTCAAAAAGAAGGAATGCACCGGTGAGCTCAGCAACACCAAAAGACCTGGGAGACCACGGAAAACAAGTGTGGTGGATGACCGAAGAATTCTTTCCCTGGTGAAGAAAACACCCTTCACAACAGTTGGCCAGATCAAGAACACTCTCCAGGAGGTACGTGTATGTGTGTCAAAGTCAACAATCAAGAGAAAACTTCACCAGAGTGAATACAGAGGGTTCACCACAAGATGTAAACCATTGGTGAGCCTCAAAAACAGGAAGGCCAGATTAGAGTTTGCCAGGCAACATCTAACAAAGCCTTCACAGTTCTGGAACAAGATCCTATGGACAGATGAGACCAAGATCAACTTGTAGTGATGGGAAGAGAAGAGTATGGAGAAGGAAAGGAATTGCTCATGATCCTAAGCATACCACCTCATCAGTGAAGCATGGTGGTGGTAGTGTCATGGCGTGGGCATGTATGGCTGCCAATGGAACTGGTTCTCTTGTATTTATTGATGTGACTGCTGACAAAAGCAGCAGGATGAATTCTGAAGTGTTTCAGGCAATATTATCTGCTCACATTCAGCCAAATGCTGCAGAACTCATTGGACGGCGCTTCACAGTGCAGATGGACAATGACCCAAAGCATACTGCAAAAGCAACCAAAGAGTTTTTGAAGGGACAGAAGTGGAATGTTATGCAATGGCCAAGTCAATCACCTGACCTGCATCCCATTGAGCATGCATTTCACTTGCTGAAGACAAAACTGAAGGGAAAATGCCCCAAGAACAAGCAGGAACTGAAGACAGTTGCAGTAGAGGCCTGGCAGAGCATCACCAGGGATGAAACCCAGCGTCTGGTGATGTCTATGTGTTCCAGACTTCAGGCTGTGATTGACTGCAAAGAATTTGCAACCAAGTATTAAGAAGGGAAAGTTTGATTTATGATTATTATTCTCCCCCATTACTTTTGGTCCCTTAACAAATGGGAGGCACATATACAAACTGCTGTAAATCCTACACCGTTCACCTGAGTTGGATGTACATACCCTCAAATTAAAGCTGACAGTCTGCAGTTAACGAACATTGTGTTTGTTTCATTCCAACTCCATTGTGGTGGTGTATAGAGCCAAAGATGTTAGAATTGTGTCGATGTCCCAATATTTCTGGACCTGACTGTGTGTATATATATATATATATGCAAAAAATTAAAATCTCGGGTGTTTTCCTGCGTCATTATAAATAAGTTGGTTAAAATATTTAAAATCCTGGTTAAAATCCCAGCTTAAAATCTTCTAAAAATCCTTACAGAGCACTCTGCAAATATTTTAACCAACTTATTTATAATGACGCGGGAAAACACCCAAGATTTTAATTTTTTGCATATGCACACCCGCGAAAACTTCACACACACACACACACACACACACACACACACACACACACGACATTAATGCTTCATTCTTCTCTGCTCCAACCACTTTTCTCTCTAACTGCTTATTAAATTTGTTTTCCGGCCCATCACAAATTGTTCCTGAAATTTTCTTTTTCAAAAGGAAGTTCGATAGCTTTTAATGGCTCTGTCCCTATCTGTGCATTGCAAGGGTGGGGGGATTTGGAGATGAGACTGCAAAATTTGAACCGCCTACCTTGCTCCGAATCCGTTGATATCGTTGATCCAAGGCTGTCTGTGCGGACTCGTTCCAGGCCCTGCATGGACAGCTGCTCCAACCTGCGCTTCAGGTACCGATGTTCTCGCTGCAATTGTTCTTTGATGTTCAGAGCTTTCCGGTCCTGTTCTTCCAATTTCTACAGAGCCAAAATAATGAAATCAGTGGTGAAATCCAAATTTTTTTACTACCGGTTCTGTGGGTGTAGCTTGGTGGGCGTGGCAGGGAAAGGATACTGCAAAATCCCCATTCCCACCCTACTCCAGGGGAAGGATGCTGCAAAATTGCTTAGCGCATTGTAAGCCGCCCTGAGTCTCCGGAGAAGGGCGGCATATAAATCAAAATTCAAAAAAAAAAAAAAAAAATCTCCATTCCCACCCCACTCTAGGTCCAGCCAGAGGTGGTATTTGCCAGTTCTCTGAACTGCTCAAAATTTCCACCACCAGTTCTCCAGAACCTGTCAGAACCTACTGGATTTTACCTATGAATGAAACCAAGAAAATAATCTTCTGCTCGCGTTTGATTAGTTCCTGGACTGCAGACAAGGGATCCTGAAAGGGACTGCAATGTCCAGACTACGACCATCCCACCTTAGTGACATGGCAGCTACATTCTTTCTTGCAAAGGGTGGTAGGCAAGGAAGCTGAAGACTTTTCCCAGCAGCCCCAATCAGGAAGGGGGGGGGGCGCCGCGTGGGACGGACAAAGGGAAGAAGGGGGAGATTCTGAGTATTTGCTCCATTTTTTACAGAAATGATCCCAATCCCTGCTGCTACTAACAATGGGGAAAATAATCCCGATTAACCTTGTTCCCCCATAAAGGCTCCCTTTCCTTAACAATGATACTTGGTTGGGTTCATGCGCACATGAAGTTGTAGGACACTAGAAAAATCTGTCAAACAGAAGGACTCAGATGATATGGTACCAAGTTGAAAAACAATTGACTTGATGGTTCTCCAAGAGGTAGTCACAAAGAAAGGAAAAGCGTTTAGTTGAATACAAAGTGGGTGTTACAAACAACTTGTTGTGTGTCAGTGGAGATTGTAAATCAGAACAGCCCTTTTTCTATTAGCTAAAATGGATGTTTCATCATGGCAAAGGGCATCCAAGGCTCCCACAGCCTCTGCTGCCAAGTCCACAAAAATCCATTTGCGCTGGAGAAGAACCGGGAGAAAATTGAGCCCTTAATCCCCTCTCTCTTTTGGCCACCTTTGCCTCACCTCCATCCAGGGGTGAAATGCTACCGGTTCAGCTGAAAGGTAAGTAGATTTCACCCCTGCCTCCATCCCTACTAAGGTAAACATAACTTTGGACTCCAGGGAGCCTCCGACTCTTCCTGCCAATTCTTCTCTCTGGGAATCTCAGGCCCACCTGTAGCTGTTCTGCACTCACGGTCTTGTTTCATGTAATTCAAACAAGGACAAGTAAATCACGGGTTGAGTTCACCTCTAGCTGTAAATCAAGGGTTTTTAGAACCACTTGAAATAAGCCACCATGGTCTGGCTGACATGTTATGTTAAGCGGAAAAAAAAGAAAAAGAAAAAAAAGGTACGTGTGCTTTTGTTTCTTAGATATCAAAGCCATTATCTAGAAATCTCCCTGTTTAAATGTGTGCTTGTGCCTATGGAAAGCAAAAACGTTTTAAAATGTGACTTCTTCACATTTTATATAAATTCCAAGTTGTGGTCACACACTACACCAATAGATAGCCCATAGGTGGCAAAGCACAGGATGCTCTACAAAGCTTCTCTTGTGAGGTTTGTTTGGGGCTCAACAGTAAAAGCATCAGCTTCTGTGACCGCAGAGCAACACTCTGCTTGTTTTTTAAGGGTATGGATAGTTGTCGCATAAAGTTTCCAGAGAATTTTGGGGAACTGGGAAGTTAAATAACTCCAGGACATTATTTATAAAGGAGATCATGTGATTTCTGAGTTTTTTCAGCAACATTTTTTGAAGTTGGAAAAAAATAATTTTCAGTCAAAGTCTGAAATGACCAGAAGAAATGAAGGAGACCAGCAGTCAAGGTTGGAATTTACCTTTGTATCTACTACTGTAAGGCCACATTCAGCATTTATCCTGAACACAAAAAGGATATGGAGAGGTAATAAATAAAATTTATTAAATAAATAAAAGTCATATTACATCGTGATTTTAGGGGCCCTGAGTAGTGGATCGTTAAGGTGACCGAGTCCCTCTCGGAGGCCACCAAGCAGAATTTTCACAGTGATTTAGGCTAAGGCTACAAGAAAGTAAACTTCTTTCTGGTTTACCTTAATATGCATCTTGGCTCTTTTCAGCAGGCTGAGGGTGGTGTGCCTGGTGCTCTCAGCTCCTAAAGGGACCAGCTGCTTTAACTCCTCTAAATAGAGTCGCAGCTTCGCTCGCCTGAAATGAACAAAAATGAGAGATCTGCTTTAGTCTCATTAGCATTCAAAATCTGCCCTACTTTTGACACAATATTAATTGCAAATAAATAAAACATATTTCACTAGCATTTATGCCTTACAGCTACTACCTACAAGAGATCCCCTCTGATATTTCAGGTAATGTGTAAACAAACCTACATGTTCAATTTACCAAATACGTTAAAACCGCAAGCGCAGAATAAGATCCACAAAACACCGTGTATCAATCCACGCAAACTGCATTACTAGTATGCTATCAGGATATGGTTTGTCGACATTGAAGGCGAAGTCAACAATGGAAGATGCCCTGGGCCAAGCACGATTCCTGGAGCTTTCTTGGAAGTGATCTGCTGTTTCTTTCTTCCAACATGCTCTTAAAGGGAAATGATGGCCTAGCAATATCAAGTAACTCATTCAATTATTTTAATAACTGATACATAAAGTTCCTCCTTCTCTTTATCCTCCTTTTTCTAACTTTTAGCAATATTCTCTTTCAGGCAGAGAAAATTAAAAATGTACGTGATCTCCAACCTTTCCTCCAAACCATGCGTCCCATTAAATATCCTTCTTGCTTCCCTCCATCTCCCAGGCAAAATCTGCCCATGGAAACCTTTGGCCTTTTGATAGTTTTGGCTTCGCGGTTCCAGAGTTTTCCAAGATCTACAAAGGACAGCTGAGGTGTGCCACAGTGGACTGAAATATGCACAATATTCTAGCATAAACTTTCTACTAATTCATTAATTCGTTCAGGTTTTTCCTAATGGGAATTTTCTTGCCTCACTGACTGAATCAGTATTTTCACTGAGCTATGCTTTTTTTCTTTTTTTTTGGCACACTGAACTGTCTCTGCCATGTTCACTCACCAAGGCCCAATCAAAGGGTTCCATTTGGAGGAAGGAGAAAGACTTTGCCATTTAGATCAACACAAAATAATGCAGGAATCCATCAGCATTCTTAGTGTTTATTTGCTCACTTGTAACAAAAGACGGAGCATGAAAACTGGAGCATAAAGAGTTATTGGTTAAAAAAAAAACTATTGGTTGGATACAAAAAATCTTCCCATCATTCTCCTAAAAAGTTATTACTTGTGGTCCTTCAAATCTTCCACTGGCTCTGTTTGCCAACAGTGAAGCCTTCCTGGCTGCTATCTGGGTACATTCAAATGTGGCTAATCAGAGCTTTTAAAAGCTTGAGACCAAGTTATTAGAAAAAACCAGAAAAGCGAAATGAAGCAACTAACTAGAGTATAGCTTATGTTTTTCTCCAGTACAAATATTTGTGTGATTTAAAAACAGTCAGTAGAAAGATTCTGAAACTTGACTTTTATGTTCACCAGTATATCCTGCAGTCTTGTGGTGAACCGATATAAAAATTCCCATGTGACAAACTTCTTGGGTGTATGGCCAGCGACTGGTCTGGTTAGTTTAATAATAATGCAGAGAACGCCAGGTGCCTTTCTAGGCCCAGCGGTCACTAAGAGAAGAGTCTGTCCCTGGCTATGAAGTGAGGGTGGAACCCAATTATTTTGATAACCAGAAGTATGCACCTCTGGAAAAGATGGCTGCCTCCTTTATCTTCCCTCTGGTGTTTCTTCCCAATTCAAGACCAAGGGCCGGGAGCCATGCAGTGCTGGGCTTCAGACTTGGTTCCCGTCCAAAGGCTCCTGGATGCAGCTGTCTATTTTCCCAGGACTGGGTGGCTACCATGCATCCCTGGAAAATGCTACTGCTGTTGCAGTTGCTGCATTGAAAGTTTCAAGCCCATGTTACAATTCACCCCTCGCCTGCTCCAGAGCACCACACTCTGGAATGCAATTCCCAGGGATGCAGTCCTGCCTCAAGGAAATGGGAGTTGGGGACGGGCCTTCTCTTCCCTTTCTTTTCAACATTTACAACATGGAGATTTACACTGAGCAGCAGATACATGGGGTCTGTGGTCTGCTTCACCAGGCGATCCCCAAAGACAAATTTTTAAATGTGGGACCGGAAGTGAAATTAAAATAATACTTTCAAATTTGTAATATACATTTCTCAATAGCATTCTCAGTTAATTATGCCTCCTAATCAAGAGTAAGTGATGAAATTTGTAACTGCTAATCTGTCTAGGATTGCTTCATTCTTTTCCCTCAAGCATCTTCTAAGAAGAAAAAGAGGCTTTTAAAATGTCTCACTGTGTGGGCAAAAAGCAGTCACTACTTGGAAACGGAGCCAAGCAAGGGGTGTTTGGAAAACAGAGTTTAATCCACGCTCTCGGCCTGTGAAAACTGACATTCTGCAGTATCTTCTTTAGTCATTTTATTTCATAAACTTACATGGCCACCCACTTGCCAAATGATGCTGGGCAGCTAACAAGCACTACAAATCTTCCCAAACAAGGAAAATGACAAAATAAAAAAAATATAATAAACTTTAATACAGGACCCAATTTGGGTCAGCCACTGGCATCAGAGGTTTAGTCTTCCGAGCTTTTGGACTCATGCTGGAGTCCATCCTCAGGGAACTGAGCGTGGGCTTAGGGCTATTCTGTGTGTGGTATTTATATGTGGCGCCTATTTGTGTGTGTGACTTTTTAGAGGTTGACTGGGGTGTGTTGATGGCTGGTCGTGCCGTTGGCCCTTGCCTCCTAAGTACTTGATAAGCTGATGGTAAATCAGCAGTCCTGAATTTTAATAGTTTAGCATACATTCGTTATTAAAAGTAACGTCTTTTTGTTGCATGTCCCGAGAGCTAAACCTACATCTTATTCAGCTTATTATTTTGCCAAAATAAGTTTTTCTTTTTTAATGAATTCTCCGTCTTTAGCAGCAGCTAGCCAAAATTTCAGCTTTTTATTGATCTTTTATCTATGTGAAAACTATATTCATCCGATGCAATCAGCAAAAGATGGTAAGAAAGACATGAATAAGCGGCAACCTAAAAAGACCCTCATGTGGAACCCTAACCCTTGTTGTGGATTAGGGCGTGCAGGTTCTTCAAGGGAGGCTTTGTGCAGAAAAGGCATCCATCTTCTTCCAGATTTACAAGGCTGCTGTCTCTACACACTCAGGTGCAAAGGCAACAAAAAGCGTTTTGCAAAGCAGCCATGAAAAAGCCCCCCAAAATAAATGCCATATTCATTCGTAGAAAGCATTTCTTACGTCCACCTCTGTTTTCCAAAACTCTGACCCTATTCTATTCTTTCAAGGAGTCGTACTACTGTTAAAACTTAGCAGACTTTCTAGGGATGGGAAGTTGCTTTCATTTTTCTCTTCTAGCTTAATGGTGTGCTTAATTCTTTTAAATTGCTTAAATTCATTTAAGCCTATTTCTAGAAGAGTCACGTGTCCATAAGCAGTTACAATTCCTTAAAATGAAATCAGAATTTATTAAACGTAATTTTATTTGGATTCAAAATATAAATCACTCAGTTTTAATATCTGTTTTAAAACGAATTCCTAAAAGCTTCCTAATTTGCTGCAAACTGATGAAATATGTGCGTATAAAATTACCCCCATAAAAATAGTATGTATAAATATGCAAATGAGTAAAACTTGCATAAATTTAACTCATTGATTTTCAATAATTAAAAAAGCTGCATTCATTTATTCTATCAATATGCAAATGAGTAATTATCCATCAATACCACATTTGAATCGCCATCTCTGTATATTAATACCTCTATCAATTCAGTTAAGTATTACTTACCTATGTTTTTCTAATTCATTATGTGAGGATCTATTAAAAATAGAAAATATGATATTTTAAGAATATTATGTATTAACTCAAATAGAAACATTTGTTTTAAAAGTTCCTAATAGGGACTATTTTTAAAGAATTTAGGCACCTCTCAGTACACAAAGACCACCATTTCTTTGTTTCCCTCAGGTTTAACACAGTTTTAAAATCAACCCTGAATCAGATTAAATTTCTGTAATATCTCAAACTGAAATTTGGTTGTTGAAACGTAATCGAAAACTCAGTCACAGGACTAACTGAATGTTAAATGAACTTGGACCATGGCAGAAAACAATTGCCATAATAGCTATCTTTTTCCTTCTGCTAAAGAACTTAAGCTAAATGTAGAAGCATCTTCAACAAACAGCAAACCTTATAGGACACTCCTACCCTATCCCAGGGAAGGAAGCCATCTCATGTGCCCTTCAGAATAAACTGATGTTACCTCATCCTTACCTTTGGGAATCTACGTGACAAAAAATATTCCCAGGAATAAAAGTGTAATTACCACTGGGCCAGCAGTATTACAGCATGTGCACTGCAAAAATACCACATACGTTCAACCCTGGTAGAGTGCAGTCAAGGTACCACTCGGCAGGGAATAGCCATGATTTCATAGGCCAGCACCAAATAACAGATGGAGCCGAAGGCAAAAATGCCACTGTACGCTAAAGGCTGGTGGCTTAATCACATGACCAGAAAGGAAAAAAAAGCTTATCATTTCTTAGGTTGCAATTGTACCTGATATGCAAGGCTAACAGTGGACTCAATTTAGTATGCCCAGGGGATTGCCGTACCCGTATGCATTGTGGAATACTGTACTCTGCCCACTATGCATCTCATGCGGGAGGTAACTGCAACTATTCTCCACAGAACTCGCACAGCAGCTGTAGATAAAACTCTGGTTTCACACCCTATACGATACCTGGTTTTAACATGCCACGTTTTATTCAGTGCAGTTAAGCAACCTATCACTATTTTCAGAACGGAGATGGAGAACTGAGTCAGGGATCACTGCGTCCTCATCCTTGAAATCTCCAGTTCTACTTTAGGGCATGCCTACATTCAATCGAGGGCAGTCCTAACAAGGAACCCAGGAGTGGAGCAGGCCAGCCCTGGACCAGCTGGGCTGGGCCACAATCCTATGACAAGAGGGTCCCCAACAGCGAGACAGGGAGCCCCCCGGCTGTAGTTCCCACCGCGGTGCCTTGTCCTGAGCTGGCCCAGCATTGCAACAGAGGCATCGGCTTCTCCCGGTCAGTTCTGAAGGTGGTTTTTCCTCCTTCCACCGAAGGTCCTCGAGGCTGGCTCTGCTTCCTGCCTCTTTACGCCTCGGAACCCAGACCTGCGAAAGTAGACTTTCCCCGGGTTTGTTGTTCCGTTGGCCATTAATGAGGGTGGCCACTGCAGCAAAAGCTTCGTTTTGCAACATTTCTCCTTTTAGGGTCATTGTTTTTTTTTCCTGCAAGGATCTGCTTGGATCCCGCAAGACCTCACCGGCTCTGGGCTTTGTCCCCGGAGTCCTGGACGGCCTCCTGACAGGCTCCTGTCACAACCTCCCCACCCACCTCCTTCCTTTGGCCGAGCAGGAGGAGAGGGGCCTGGGGGCTTCAGGGGCCAAAGCCAACCCTGGGCAGCCAGAGGAGGGGGCGCGGAGGCGATGGCAGCTGGGCCGCCTCGGAGGGGGGCTGGGGGTGGGGCCCAGGGAAAGCCTTCTTGCCCTCCTCCTCCTCCTCCTTCTTCCCTTTTCCGTGCCGGCCGGAGGGAAGGCCAGGGAGGCTACGGGGGGCAGCACCCCCTTCGTTCCTTCAGGCACCCATCTGGGGCCGGGAGGGAGAAGCCGAGGGCGGAAGGAGAGACACACACGCAGCCCCCTCCCCCCACTCGCCCAGAGGAGCCCCTTCCTCCCGCGGGGCATCCTGGGAGTTGAAGTCCGCTGCCCTCGAGGGCCCCCCCCCACCCTCGCTTCCTCCGCCCCGGAGGCCCCCGGAGCAGCCGCCCCCCCTGGAGTTCCCGGGAAGGCCCTGGGCCGGGCGACGTGGCGGAGGCGGCGCCGGGAGGGGAAGATGGCGGCGGCGGCCCCCCTCCCCCAGCCCCCCCCCCCAGGGCCACTCACCGGCTGCCGGGGGCCTTCCTGGCGGCGCTCCTCCTCCGGGCACAGGCGCGCTCGAAGGGCAGCGCGGAGGCGTAGCCGTGCTCGGCCTCTGCGGGGAGAAAGCGCCGCGTCAGAGAGGCCCGGAGCCCGCCCGCTCGCCCGCCCGCTCTCCCCGCCGTGCCCCCCGAGGCGCACCCCGCTCCCGCCGCTCCAGGTACTCGGCGGCCTCGAGCAGCATCAGCAGCGAGTTCCACTCCATCGCCTCAGCCGCCGCCTGCTCGGGCTCGGGCCGCGGGCGCGCCGCCTCCCGCCCCGGTTGGCAGGTCGCTCGCTCGACGGGCAGCCGCGCCCGCCAGTCGCCCGAGGCGGAGCCGCCGCGCGGCCAATCGCGACCGGGACGGGGACGCCGGGCCCGCCCTCGGAGGCGGACGCGCGTGGACGGCCCGGGCGTCGCGGCCGCTGATAGGCCGGCCGCTATAGCAACAACCCCGAAGCCGAAGCTTAGCAACAGCACGTGGTGGCCCGGCCCCTCGCTCGCTGACTGGCCCGGCTCGCGTATGCAAAGCAGGGCGCCTCGCGGGATTGGGCGCCGGGAGGGGCTATGCAAATGAGAGTCGGAACGGCGGCGGCCGCCGTGGCCTCGATGACGTCACGAAACCTGGGAGAAAATGCGCGCGTCGTGTGAACGCGCGTTACGGGCGACGGGGAAGCTCTTTCCTCCTGGGGAGTTGCGGGGAAGCGCTCCTCCCGGAAATGGAAGGCTTTGCTGCCACCGAACCCCGCAGCTGCAGCCTGAACCTTGACCCCCGTTCAGCAATTCTGCCTTTATTCGGGCAACCCCCCCCTCCCCCCGCCATTATCACGAGCTGCTTTGTGCAGAAGGAGCAAAAAAGGTTATTTGTGGTGCTTTGGAGTCCTGAAAAGGCAGGACGGCGTTGTTGTTAATACTGTGATAGTTGCAAGAGAGTCTCATTGGTAAGGAAGATGAGGAGATCCAAGCCTTCCGTCGTGCAACTGCGCCGCTGCTTTGCTAGCCGGACTTCGTAGAAAGACCGGGGCACCTCCACGCCTTGCAACTGTCCTAATAAATGAACCGCCCTGGGGTTTTTGCCAATATTTCCACCTCCCCCCCCCACTTGCAAACACCACTACAGGGAAAAGGCAGGTAGCCTGAAGGGAGGGTTGCTTGAAGCCCAGGACCGGTGTGCCCATAAAATGGCCTGGAACATGAAGGTGAGGCTTATGCAGGTTGGAATCTGTGCCCGGAATGGAGTGGAAATGCTCTTGGCGGGTCTTGAGAATTGGACACACAACTGAGCAAAACCAGCCCAGTCCTTGCTGCTGGCTGAGCTTGGCTGCTTTCTTGCAGCCCGTTTCAGGACCCAGCTAGGCTGGCAAACTCAGAAGACCAGACAGACCCAGCTGCATTCCTGGAAAGTTCTGGGCAGGTGAGAGAATCATGGAAACCGTCTCCAGATCAACTTCTCCCTGTTGCAACTGAGCCCGAGTCTCTCTCTCGGGCTCCCCTCTTCCGAAAGGGCCCCCTTCCCTCCCTCCCTCCCTCCAATTGCTGCCTCCTTCAACCACCCAGGATGGGTCCTTCTGGCACTTGGGACCTGCCTTTTTTTTAGCCAGAAACAAGGACAAAGAGAGGAGGAGGAGGAGGATTTGGTTGGATGGTCGTGCCATCTAGCAGCCCGCTCTTTAATCAGCAGGACACGGGATCCTTTCCTCAAATCCTTTGCTGAGGTTAAGGTATCCGATGGCAACCGTGTTTCTGTGATCAACCAAGGAAATCACTCCAAATGATGAAAGATCGATGTGGCAAGATTTGTCCTTGACTGATCCATGCTGGGAACATCTAGGAACCGTATTGCTGCAGATTGACCGCTTTATGATCTGCTCCAGAATCTTCAAAGTTATAGTTTTTAAAACTGATTTGTATGTTAGTTTGAGGGATCTTCCTTTTCCTTTTTTTCTTTTTGCAAACAGATGTCCTCCCCCGCTCACCTTCTGTCTCTTGGCACTTGCCAGTTCTGCAGGATTGTCAGTGACTAAGCATTAGGTCGGCCGAATCAGAGCAGCAGCAGGATCCTTCGGCATCCTAGGATGCAACTCACTTAATTCGGAGAGAGATTCCCCAAGCATCTTTCTCTCGGCCTCCTCCTTCATTCTGGCCCCTTCGTCCTGCTTTTTGCCATCACCTGGGGGAACACATGAGGGCTTGTTAGAGAAGATGGAAGCAGAGGAAAACTGTGGAAGCGCTGTCTCTGCCTTGAGAGCCCTTTGCATGATTGCCTTCTCTATCGAGCGGTTGGTAGACTTAACTCTCTTCCTTCTGAACTTCTCCAGGCACTCTGTGAGTGACGTTCCTGGCATCCTTTGCTTCCTGTCCTCAATTCATTCTGAGTTTTTATTTCCTGTCACCAGATCTGCAGTTCTTGGCTGTCTGCATGCGTCCTTGGTGACCTGGCCCTTGTACCCTTTTCTATTATTTTGCTCGCCTGGAGACACCTGGGCTAGGTGAAAAGCACAGAGTCAAGGACCACGGATCCTCCTGTGTCTTCCTGTATCCCCTGACAAAGTTTATCCCTAAGACAACTGGGAATTTCCCCGGAAAGACCCTGCGTGCAAACTTCCCAAGGTCATTTTAGATTTCTGAATGGGTGTTTTTAATGAACAGAACTGCCTGTAGCTTTTTCTGGTTGTCTTCCTCCTCCTCTTCCTCCTCCTCCTCTATTCCTTCTGTACCTTTGGAACCAACAGTATCCTTCAACATCCTTGATATATTGTATTTCAGTCACCCTAACGGGTCTCCATTACAAATACTAAAGTCCTAATTGCCCTTCGGTATGAAGGTCTCAGCAGGGCTGTTGCGTTGTCCTAAGCTCATTGTGTTGGGAGATTACAGCTCTATGGTGGGAGGGTTTAATCAGGAATGGCTTAGGATGGCATAATCGGGACCTTCTCGTGATCCGGCTCTGCGTGAAGAGAGACACAGGGCTTTGTGGCTGACTCGGAAAGGGGCCTCTGGCCCAGTGTAGGCTTGCTAACCAGTCTCCTTCCTAGGCAGGAGGTGGGTTCATCCCAGAGACCTGGCCTCATTGTGCAGTCCAGTCTCCAGCTTCATACAGGTATTGTTTCCTCTGCCTCTGGTTGGATACACCTACAGTTGACTGAAAGACCGGAGTCTTTGCGACTGCTTCATTTAACAACTTGTGTTGCTAGTCCCCATTGTGTTCACTAAACGAGGACTATCTGTATGTCAGATCTGGGGTAGTTGCTGAAGCTTCTGGACGTGTACAGTTACCTTGAGTTTCTACGTCAGTTTTAAGAGAAGATGCTGCTTTGGTTTGTGCTAAAATATTTCTGCAGCTCTGGGTGGCTTTCAGAGAATGGGGTCAGCTCGGAGGCTTTCTTAATGGCTTGTCTTGCAAGGTCAGTTGAGATTCCACCGCTCTGGAGTCTTTCCCCCTTTTTTAGATTGAGTTCTGCAGCTTTCCTTTGCTTTCCTCCATGCGTATCCAGGTCAACTTCAGGAGCTCTCGAGAGGGTTTCCATAGCAATCGAGAGCCCTAATGCTAAGTAAATTGGCTGCTGTTGGCAGAGGGTGAGCTTTGAACCGCAGACATCCCACCCGGAGCGTTGGACACCATGGCCGGATGGCGTCTTTTCCCAGGCTGACCTTTGACGGCTTCTTTCCGGTGGCTAGGAGCTGCCCTCTGATCCCGGCCATTTCAGGTGGGGCCCCAACGTGGTTTGCAAACTGGTTTTAGGGAGGGTTTTTTTCTCCCCAAGAAGGTGGTTTGAGGATGCTAACATGTTGCTTCATTGCTTACAAGAGATCTTGCTACCCCAAGTATTCTCAAGACCTGGGAAAACATCTTGGCCTCTTGCTATCTGATTTTGCCTTTATTTCCTTAGGAAGGATTGTAGACTTTATTAAAAATAAATAAACTGCCTCCGATTAGATCAGGGTGTTATTCAAACTTATTAATTTATGATGTGAGTTGAATTTTAGGTCAGCTGTGGAGATGGTTACTAGCATCACATTTTTGGGTGTGCAGCTGACGAGCAGGTTAGCTTGGTCTCTCAACAGTGAGACACTGGTGAAGTACACACACACACACACACACATTTTGCCAAGAAAACTTCAGGGTGAGGATGAATCCAGGCAATTGCCAGGAGCCAACAAGGCATCATACATGCATGCATGCATACATACATACATAGTAAACAGATCTTGGCTGCAGATTTATTTGAATTTATCCTCTTCTTGAAGGGCTCAACTATATTTACCACCTAAATCTCTTTAAAAGGCAACACTTCTGAGATGTTCTGGCAACCTTTTGTATCTCTTCTGTGTCTTGTTTTTAATCTCTTTAACTACATGCACATAAAATTACCATGTAATTTTTTTTCAATATAAAACTTGAAGGTTTTTTTTTTCTTGAGACCAGTTAAGCCTACAGCACGTGCTTTCCAAAGGCCCTAAAGAGAAGTTTTAACCGAGACAGCTATCCTATGGAGAATATTTCTGCATTTGCAATTAAGATCTTAGAGGCTTTAACAAGGTAGAGTTTCCTGAAGAATATTGGATAAAACAAAACCCTCCTAGAATAACAAAGCAAACCTTTTATTTTTATTAAATGAGAACAAGATCACACGGAAAGATTAGAAAAATTATATACATTGTTTATTTAGCTGACTATCTGTACAG